CGCCTAACACACATTTAATATAATACTGTTGGCCCTACCGGAGACTTCTATATTAGATACTACGGTACTGTGTTGAAATATGATTCATAGCCCCCAATATGCTTAATGTAATCTTCTGGGGGGGAGGTGGTTGGAATATTTCCTTGTTTCTTTATTTCATTATTTTCTTTATTTTTCTTTTCTATTCTGATTTTGTATTTTCTGTATATTTGAAAACTTTTCTTAAATAAATACCTTGAAAGTAGAGAACGCACATGACTGTTTGTACTTAGACAATATTTGATTATCCCAGAGTTCAGTATTCGGTAAACCAGTTACTTTTCTCTCGCCAGCCAAAGCACGGGACACAAGAGCTGGATATCAAAGTAGATGTAAAACCGATCATTTTTAGCTTGTTAATGTCATTTTAAAAGTCATTTTCACTCTTCTTAAATCTATGACTAAAATAATCCCTTGTGACCCTTCCATTTGTTCAGTGCCTTCCTGTTATAGGCGCTAACGTGCAGTGGAGTCTGTTCTCGGTGAGGCATTTTCCTTGCCTGCCTCCGCCCCGCCCCCATCCTGTCCATGCCCCTCCCTCATCCCGCCTCTGCCCTGTCCCCAACCCAGTCACTGAGCTATGTGGAGGTGGGAGGGAGGATGGGGACAGGGATGAGCCTCCCAGTCCCTTACTTGTTTGTCACTGGTGAGGCATCAAGATCAATGTCCTCACTTTTTTTTTTGATTGGACAGCTTGGATCAATGGCACTTTGCCATTGGTCCAAACCATCCACAGAGCTAACGCCTACAACAGCAACTTGAGGCTGTTGCAGCTCTTGCCTCACGAAGTCAGCTCTTGCCTCACTACGTTAGGTTACACAGGCAGTGGGGAAGCCTGCTGCTGTGTAACCTAACTTATCTGTCAAAAGCCGGTTGCAGCGCAGCCTGTAATTAACAGGCAGCACTCTGTCCATTACAGGTGACACCGCGGGGAGACTTTCCCTGCTGTGTAACCTGTTACAATCCGCTCTAAATGGAGAAAAAGATGTCAGCTTCAGACTTGAAGCTGACAGCTTTTTCCTCCATAATACTAGGTGATGCTCTGTCTCACCTGCCTCCCCTGAACGCACGCCCCTGGTTATAGGGTGACAAAACTTTGTCCCTGTTTCCCAATTCTGCCCCTTGCATTGTGATGAAGACTAAAGGAGGCTGTGCTGACACTTAATACAGGCATGTTCTAGCATTGTCACCATCATCATTGTCACCATCATCATTGTCACCATCACCATCTGACCAACTGCCATTGGAGTGAGTGTAGGTAGACAGGAAGTAGCTGCAAGGAGAATGGAGGGGATAGATGATACTGGGGATAAAAAGAAGTATGACATTTCTCAATGTTACACATTGCTTAAGCAAACTAAAGCAATTCACTTATGGTTCACCTCTACTTTACCTGAGGGGGGTAACACAAGTTTACTTTAAGCACATCTTTAACAATCTTCAGTAGACATGTAAGCTGCGTAAAAATTTGGTTCGGATATTTCATTATTTTGGGATTCGGATCTGAAATTCAATTCGGTTCGGGTTTCGGATGAGTTTAGGAATATTCTTTGCAAATACCACAGAAAACCATTTACATATATTAATTCTAAAGCTGAGGCTCCTAGACCCGAATGCCATTTGGGATCCGAATTTCCGAATTGCATTCAGGAGCTCCCGAATTCCATTCGGGTCTGGCAGCCTCAGCTTTAGTAATATATGTATATGGCTCCCAGACCCGAATGGCATTCGGGATCTGAATTTCCAAATTGCATTGGGGGGCTCCTGAATGCCATTTGAATCTGGGAGCCATATACATATAATACTAAAGCTGAGGCTCCCAGACCTCAAATGGCATTCGGGAGCTCCCCAATGCAATTCGGAAATTCGGATGCCAAATGCCATTCGGGTCTGGGAGCCTCAGCTTTAGTATTATATGTATATACTGTATATGGCTCCCATGGTGCCATAGCGAAATTCGTGTTCAGACCCATTCAGATGCATTAAATGGAAAAACACATCTGATTGGCCAGAAAAGTCACATGTCCAATTCAGTTTCATTTTTGAACGAAATGCGGACGGGATCTGAAATTCAGAAACGGAAATTCGGATTCGGACGCATTCAGACGCATTCGGATGCATTCGGATGCATTGGGATTCTGAAAATTCGGATGTGTCTGAATGTCCCAATTTCTGAAAATTTGTCCGAATTTTGATTCGGAACGAAACGAATCGCACATGTCTACTCTTCAGAACTAAATAACGTCTATGTGTATGAGACCGTAGAAGCCGAATTTCTCCGTGAGCGCACGTACATGGCAAAGGATCTGCAGCTGTTATCCAGACGAACCGAGAGGAGGGAGAACGCAGAGGTTGGCGCTGCAAACTTAGCAGGTGCATTTGGAGTGGAGTGCAGTGCAGTGTTTTTTAGGGCAGCATGAGAAACCAATCACTTGTGCTGTGGTGCTCATGGACTAACAAGGGGCATGCTCACAGGAGAAGAGAGCAGAGTGACACCACGATGTGCTCATCACTCTGCTGTTTCTCTTTTCACTGTCCAGTCACAGGCTGTTGGAACTTAAAGGAGAACTATGGGGTCAGTGTTTTTCCCCATAGTTCTCCTTAGGGTAACGGGAGGACACAAACTAGCGTCCTCCCGTTACCCTAAGCTCAGTATACCGAGAGCTATAGCTCGCGGTATACTGAGACGCCGGAGCGGATCACGACTTAGATGACAGGATCCGCCCAGCTGCGTGACTGACAGCTGGCTCTGCCTATCTAGAGGCAGAGCCAGCTGTACCCGCCCCCTCCCCCGTCCGTTCCGCCAGTCAGCGCTGGCAGATCGGAGCGGGGAGAGGGGAATCCAGCCCCTCCCCCTGTCACAGCAGAGAGCCATGACAGGATCGAGAGGCGAGCGAACCGGGTATGTGTTCGCTCACCTCCCGATCTACTGAGCCGACCTGTGACAGTCTCATTGTCAAAGGTCGGCTAGAACTATGAGGTGAGTGAAAAGCACCCCCCTCATAGTTCTCCTTTAACTTAACTGCTGCAGCTAAAAACCAGGTCCAATGACTGGACTGCACTCACTGTTGGTGCTCTGTCTGTCTGTCTGGATGAACCAAAGATACAAATCCTTTCACAGGTTAAACAGCTGACACAGGTATATGTATTTTATCTCAGCATTTATCTATTTGCTTGGAGTTAATCTTTAAACATTATTTCATTTTTTCTAGTTAGCATTTTGGACCTCAGGCACTGGGGTATCTGTTTGAGCAGCCTGTTATTACATCCTGGATTTAGGTGGTAAGAGAAAATAAAAGATTTAGCGTGCCGTCTTTAGCGCACAAGAACGCTGAACCTCCCCGTCCTGCAAATATCTCCACATCCCAGGGTTACTGAGCCCATTGCCGGAGAAGAGGCAGGTGAGTTTGTAGGTGCAATTCTTTATTTGATATTTTATAGTTAAATGGAATCTATAAAGAAGATTTTCTCAAATAGGGTTCCTCCAGAGGATGATGGGGGTTCCTCAATCTGTATCTAACTGACCTCCTGTTTGATGTTGTGTGCATAGTTTCAGGTCCAGTGCCATTTGGCAGAGCCAGCAGCATGACTGTGAGGGTGGAATTTTGACCACCTGTGTATGGGGGACACTCTTCCCACTGACCACCACTGTAAGGAGGACATTTTTCCCACTAGCCAAATAATGTAAGGGACATTCTTTCTTATGGCCAAGCAATGTAAGTGGCATTCTTCCCAGTGGCCAGCAAGTGTACAGGTCATTCTTCCCACTGGACAACCACTGTAAGGGGCATTCTTCCCACTGGCCTGCCAATGTAAGGGGTTTTCTTCTCACAAGCAAATGGGGCAGGTTTCCTACGGGCCAACAAATGTAAGAGGCATTCTGCCCACTGGCCAACCAATGTAAGGGGCATTTTACAAACTGGCCAAACAATGTAAGGAACATTCTTCTCGCTTGCTAACCAATGTATGTGGCATTTTTCAAATTAGCCAACCAATGTAAGGGGCATTCTTCCCACTGGCCAACCAATGTAAGGGGCATTCTTCCCACTGGTCAACCAATGTAAGGGGCATTCTTCCCACTAGTCAACCAATGTAAGGGGCATTCTTCCCACTAGTCAACCAATGTAAGGGGCATTCTTCCCACTAGTCAACCAATGTAAGGCGCATTCTTTCACTGGCCAACCAATGTAAGGGGCATTTTTAAAACTGGCAAACCAATGTAAGGGGCATTTTCCCAATGACACTTGATGCACTTATTTTAGCAGGGGTTCCTTAAGACCTGGAAATTATTGTAAGGGTTCCACTGGGTTAAAGAGGTTGAGTAAGACTGCTATACACTATAGAAATATGGGAGCTGCCAAAGGAAACCTTTTTTTTTTAAATCCTAGGCTGTCACCCCAAACCTAATTAGTAAGTCCATGACATGGAAAAAGCAGCAGGACGTTAGTTGAGACCTTTTATCTCCCAAAGCCGGGAGGTAAAGCATGCACGCTAATGAATGCATGTTATCGCACGACTCTTGCTTGTTGAACTGTTTTATTGCCATTCAGTATGAAAGGCACCCCAATACACCTCCCGGCTTTGGGAAGGTAAAGCATGCACTTTCATCACTGTATGGCAACACATTGCATGTTGTTGCAGCACCATGTATTGTACAGCACTGCAATTGAACGGAATTAGCCGATCAGAATGAATTTAATTTAATGCAACGCTGAAGTCGGCCCTTAGTTCTAATTTAGAGCTGAAGAAGCGGCTTGGATTAGCTGTGAAACGTCTCCACATTTATGCATAAAGTCCTTTCACATGTAAAATTAGGCATATTCAGCTAGAAACAAAAGCAAACCAACATTTTTTTATAGTTTGACTATTGTATTATCACTGTACATCACAATGTGTTTAGCATCTCAGGTCCTTTCTCACTAGGGTCTTCCATGTCTTACTACAGGTTGGTTTTATTCTTCTAGAAAACCTCAGCTATGATTGGTCTCACAGTCTCACCAGAGGTGGCACTTGCGGATGAACCAGTGAAAATCCAAGCTTGGGGTCTCCGACCACAAGAGTTAATTACACTGAGAGCATGGCTGAAGGACGAAAAAGGTGAAATCTTTTACTCCCGAGCCTTCTACATGACAGATGAAGAGGGGAAGGTGGATTTAGAGCATACACCGGCCACTGGTGGAGACTTCCAAGGAGTTCATCCAATGGGACTCTTCTGGGCTCTGAAGCCAGTTACTCCATTTTTAAGGTTGTTAAAACGTGATGTGATAGGAAGTCCTTTCTATGTTCACCTGGAGCTCTACCGACATTTAGAAATAACTCCATCTCCAAAAGATATTCCAACCATCATTAAAGTTGTACAAAGATGGTATGCCAGTCCTCGCGTCCAGAGAGTGCAGATCAGAGAAGGGCGAGTCCGGGGGACTCTCTTTCTTCCTCCAGGTATGCAAACAGCAAAAGCCATTATTGGTTTTTAGTAATAACAAAATTCTAGTTATTGATTTCTTGTTGCTCTTACAACCTTCTAGAAAATAGTCATATCTATTAGCTGCATTCTCTTGCAAACTGTTTGATTTTTAGCCATGGTTTTATTCCCATGAGATAACGCCAGCATTGTGGGTGTCTGCTCATATTCCTAGATGGGCATGCTTGGACAATATGTTCACATCCTCTAAGCAATGATTTAGGAGAAAATATACTTCAGTGGTGGTTAGGTTGGTTGGAGAATACATTGGGAAGGACTGAACTGAACTGGCCTGTACAATGTGTGTAGAAGCAGTTCAGACATCTTATCTGGAACATCTGTTGTTTCCTATGTTGCTAATCTGGCCAATTTTTTAAATTTCATTTCTCTTCAACCTCTACTAAACTCCCCTATTGCAGTTTTAAAAAACAATAAGCAAAGGTTACCAGGGGTGTGTTTATAAAAAGTTTACAGAGCCATTTGTTCTGCGAAACTGACATTTAAATTTAAATCCGTGCATATAGGGCAAAGTCGAATGTTTTCTTGTGCAGAACCAATTTATGTCAGAAAATACCAAATTATAGCCACCAGATGAAGTCGAGAAGCAAAGGAAATAAGTATTTCTTGTAGGAAATAAGTATTTATACACTGACCTTTGCATAAGCTTTACTATCTTTCTATTCATCCCCTTTTGCTGTCTCTGACTGGTTGGTCTGACTTTCTGCCCGTCTCCTGGCTCTCACCTGTCACCGTGGTACAGACCTCACCTTGTATTGCCATGCTCTGCTCATCTCTAGATGCAGGCCCGGCGCTACCGCAAGGCAAGTCAGGCGGCCGCCTGAGGGCGCTGCAGGGTGAGGGCGGAAAAAACAGGGCATTTTGACAAGTACTTGTACTTGCCAAAATGCCCCAATGATTGCGTTAAGTAGCAGGCCCAACGCTACAGGGGGTCGGGGAGGGGGGGAGGGAGATTTGTGGGGGGGGGCACATTGCCTGTGTAGGCAAGAATCCTAGCACCTGCACTGCTCAGATGCAGTCATCTAGAGCATAGGAACCTGGGGGCAATAAAGTTTATTGCAAGCACATATTTTCCCCAAAAGAGTAAACCAGGAATTATCATTGAATCTGCCCTCAGGCTAAGCAGTGAATGGCAATATAAGGCAAGATGTGAACCTGATAGCCAGGGGACAGGCAGAAAGTCAGACCAACCAGTCAGACAACAAAAAGGGGCTGAACAGAAACATAGTCAACCTTAGGCAAAGCTCAGTGTATAAATACTTATTTCGTACACTGAATATTTATTTCCTATGTTCCTCAGCTACATCTCATGGCCATAATGCAGAATTTCCCAGCAACTACGTTTGTTACAGGTGAGCATTTGCTTTTTGATCTGTTGTTGTAGCAAAAAGCTTTGCAGGTTCCTATTTTACTGGTGGATCAGCTCTATTGTACCACCCATCCCAGTGGCCTTCTCAGTTCAAATGAGTGCCTGGGCCATACCCTAGTATTTATACCCACATAGGCAACTCAGTTACCCTAATCCAATCACAACGGTGTCATGTACTGTGTCAAGACAGAAGTTGATTATCCAAGAATATGAAGGGTGAACCTAAATATTGATTTGAACTGAGGACTTGGATGAGTGGTAAATAGGTCTACAATGTTATAAAACAAGTCATGTTGAATGTGGCTAACTATTAGTAACTATACCATGAGCTAGATAAATGAGAACATTCACAGGCATCTTAATTTACAGGAGAAGGCCCTTTCCCTGGAGTCATTGACATACCTGGTAGAATTCATGGTCTAATAGAGTTTAAAAGCAGCCTGCTGGCCAGCCGAGGGTTTGCTTCTCTTGCCTTGGCCTATTTTGCCTACGAAGATCTGCCAAGCCAATTGGAAAACATAGATCTGAAATACTTTGAAGAAGCTGTTCAGTGGCTGAGTAACCATCCAAAAGTAAGTTATAATGGTAAAAACACTTAACTACCTCTGTTTTGTACCGTTCTCTACTTTGTATAGTAGGTTGCCTATGAAAATCCTTTTGCACATGGGCAGCACAAGTCTTGTCATCTATAAGATGCTGAAGATGGAATGTACAGTATAGTCCAAGGATGGTACACAGCTGCAGAGTTTGATGTGATCTGCATCATCACCAAGCAAAACAAACGACAAACGCACTCAACAATTTGTTACCAGTTATACAGTAAGGTGCACACGAAATGGGCTTTGAACAGTGGTACAGTAGAAAGGCATCATGGCACACTCACAAACCAGCATGTAAAACAACTTGTCTCACCACTAAGGACAATGACAGAGGTTTGGATACACGTCTTCTGCAAAGGATGTGTAAGCCGCACTGCCGCGCCAAGGCACCTCTTATAGTGCGGTCCTAACTCTACTTTCTACTACTACTTCTACTGTACCACTGTTCAAAGCCCATTTCGTGTGCACCTTACTGTATAACTGGTAACAAATTGTTGAGTGCGTTTGTCGTTTGTTTTGCTTTACCGATTTGGTGCAGCGACGCATGGGGTTTCTCAGCTGCCAATGGGATGTGCGGGATCCCTTGTGTGTCTCTGTACCTTTAAGGAGGTGGGGCGTCCTCCTGACAGGCCTGCACCCAATTTGATATCTTCTGCCCCCATGTGCTCCAAGATGGAGACTCTCATAGTTTAGAGTTAGGACCGCACTATAAGAGGTGCCTTGGCGCGGCAGTGCGGCTTACACATCCTTTGCAGAAGACGTGTATCCAAACCTCTGTCATTGTCCTTAGTGGTGAGACAAGTTGTTTTACATGCTGGTTTGTGAGTGTGCCATGATGCCTTTCTACTGTACCACTGCATCATCACCAGGCGCCTACCTTAATCCAGGAAGAAGAGGCCGACCAAAGATAAAGACAATGGGGTTTGTGGCAGCAGGAGCCATTGTAGGGGTAAACTGGAGTTAGAAAAGAGACTATGTCTATGAAATGTAATTGGGTTCATCAAATAAGCACATACATTAGTTTTTCAATGTTACAGATCTACTTGCCTACTCCCTAAGGCTATATGAACATTATTTGTGATAGTTGCAAAGTAGTTTTACCTGTTTTTGACTAATTTATCATTAACCCCTCCCCAAAGGGAGTGTAAGGGAAGGGAGTTTTGCTAGAAACTGGATCAAAGATGCAATATATATGAGGTTTTTTTTTTTAAACACATCCACAATGCATCAATATGCATAAGTGTGAAAACCCCCTAACCCCAAACCATTGGAAAAGAAACCCTAAAAGTAGTATTAAAGTATTTTTTTTTAGTAAGCAGTAGATATATGCCCCAACAAATACCAACTCACTTACCTGTGTCATCACCGTTCGTTCCTGGCTGCAGAAGTCCCGGCTCCCGAATGCTGTGAAGGAGGAAGTGTGGGCGGGTGCATGCGCAGTACAGATCACCGTTGGAGGGGGAAGATAGGAGGAGAGCGACACTGATGCTCAATGGACGCGCGCCGGACAGACTCCCTGGGACAGTGGGACACCAGGAGTCTGCGCCGGATCGGAGACCGGCACCAACACTGGAAGGACTGTGGAGAACGAGTGGAAGAAGGTGTTTGGCTCATTAGGTATCACATAAGGCAAGTCCTTACAGCAGCATTGGGGGAGGGGGGGTTACACCTTTAATGTCACTTTAACATTTAAAAAGAAAGTGAACTCTAGAAACTGTACCCAAAAACACAAGCAAAGGGCAAAGGACTAGTCACTAGCATGTGGGCTCTCTGCAGGTGATCTTTTCCCCATTTCTGACTTCCCATGCCTTGTTCTGCATTGTGCCGCTGTGTGGAGATGACATTCTTGGAAGAGACAGGGCTTTCCTTCCTCATGTCAGAGCCTCCAGCAAGGAGAACAGTGAGCAGCTCAGTAATGACATCATCAACTCTCACTCCAAATCTCCTAAGACTAGCAGGAAGTGCAATGCTATCTACTAGGAGTAAGCGCAGACAAAAGGTTATTTGTATCAGTGTATTTGTTCAACAATTCTGACTCCAAATCTCCTCAAACAGAGGCAACAGTGCCTTAGATCTCACATTCCAGATATACAGCTATGAGGCTGTAGGGACAGGAGACACAGGACAGCCTAGGTACTCTCTCATGCCAGGAAGTGCACTACTATTTTATAGGAGAAAATACAAAGGGTAATTTTTCAGGGTACTAGTTAGGCACAATTAACATTTCTTAATGTTCACTACAACATAGCATATTTTCTTTTTTTGAATTCAGTTTCATTTTAAGCTAAATCTAATCTCATGAATCGGTGCTCACGGGTATGAATTGGAGTCAGCTATGTGGACCCTTCCCACTACACTGGCAGGGACACTTAGGGAAAAGGGTCCAAGCAGTGTAGGCTGACAACTCCCAGAGCTGGAGTACAAGCAGGGAACAGAGCTGGGGAACTGAATGAGGCAGTGGAAGTCAGCTAAAGCTGGAAGATCAAATACAAGGCAGGGTGCTGCAATGCTGAGTAGGTGGCATGGGATGCTGAGTAGGTGGCAGGGATTCCCCAGGATGTGGAATCTGAGGGCCAGCCGGTATTCACCAGAGCTCCTGATGGTGGAGATGGGCTTGCCTGCGTGCTGACCCCAGGTGACAATCCCTTGGTCCCCCCAACTCACATAACAGGTACAGGGTATGAATCAAAGTTTAGGGACAGGCTGAAGACTTCCAGGGACAAAGCGAAGCACATGGCAGCCTGTAGACAGGGATTTCCAAGGACAAAAGCAAAGCACAGGGCAGACTGTAGGCAGGGATTTCCAAGGACAAAACAAAGGTTTGGTACACAGGAAAACTTCCAGGAATTCAGGGTAAATCACAAATGGGGGATTCGGCAACTAGCTTGGGAAAGCGTGGCTCGGGCCCTGTGCTGTTCGCTGCTCTGGGTTTAAATAGAGACAGGAAGAGGGAGGATCCACAGGATTGGCCATACACGGACTGCACTGATTTGCTGAGAAGCTGTATAAGAAACAGCAGGAGACGTCGGCCGACGCCTAAAGCTGCCAGACAGGTGCAAGTGTGAGTCAGGTTCAGAGCACATGCCTGGAGGACTACAAGCACCAGCACAGCCCTGCATGCCTGCAGAACCAGGTATAAGAGGTATCTATATACTTGTAGAACTACAAGTAACAGCTCAGCTGCAAGCCTGCAGCTGAACTGTGACACCTAACACTTCACAGTAATTCTGTACTAAGTATGGAGACTGTCAATACTGACTGAAAATTCTAGTTTGCTGGCCGTCATGGTGAATGTTTTTTTTATTATTATTTTTGGATAGCGTGGAGAAGGTTAGTACCCCTATCCCTCTTTCTTCCTCCAGGTCAGCTTTTATCTGCTATCCTGGACTCTATTCGAGAGATTTCACCTTATTCAGTCCTTGTACATTATGGGAGATCAGGGTGAATTTAGCAGCCAACATTTACCTTGCTTGGGCGCGCAGATAAAGATGCAGCAACCTCATACCACTCAGGAGATGGGGCCAGAGATGAGCCAGCAGCCGGTACAGTGTTCTTGGGAAGAGAGCAGGTTGCGAGATCCAAGGAGGGGGAGACAAGAGAGAAAAGTAAATAACATACCCATAGAACCAGTAAAGTAACAAACGTACAATACGTACAAAAAACAAGAAAACAAATAATGCGTGTCGCATGTAACCGTCCCTTAGGACAGGAGTGACAAGGAACGGGGTGGGGGAATCCCAGCCCGATGCTTGTCATGGTGGGGGGCGCTTTCCACCGAACCCCGTGGAGAGCTAGACAAATACAAGTCGATTACCAGTATAATACCTGAGATTGAGCATAGCACAGGGGCCTAACTCGGTACTGGCTGTATGTCCTTATAGGCTTATCTGAAAAGGGAGTGTAACTGAGTAAGGGGGACATAAACAGTCAAACGTGTTCACCAGGGACATAAGGTCCCACCTTGTGAGCAAAAAACGAGTGGACCCAGCCTGGTAAGTGAAGGTGAGCCAGTATTAATCAAACAGAAGGTAAACAAAAGTGAGTCATTGTAACGGCAGGAGTCTAAGTGCGGTTATGCACGTGAACTTGGGGAAAAACATTTTTAGCTATAAAGACCAGGAGAACATTCCAACACACTACTGAGGACGCAGTAGTAAGGATAGATCGTGGGGGCCGGTAAGTCCATCTTCAAGTCGGGTCAAGGAGAGACGGTAGGTTCCGCAGTTTCCTCGTCGAGCGAGAGCGGCGCTCCTGCTGCCGATTCCAGATGGGGCTCAGCTGGGCAGACCGCTGGCTGGAGGTAAGTTGCGATGAAGTAGGGGACTGAGGAGGCAGTAGTGCCAGGCTTGTAAGTACCTTACGCAGTTCCTTGGGGGTGGATACAGAAAACGATTTTCCTGAACAAGCAAAAAGGAGTTTAAAGGGGAATCCCCAGCGATAGGCCACACCATTGGAGCGGAGGACATCCAGGAACGGCTTCAGGTCCCTGCGCCTTTGGATGGTGGTCGGAGACAGGTCTGCAAAGATTTGGTAGGAGTGACCCTGGAATTGTAGCTGACTCTTTGCGCGTGCAGCAGACAAGATGGTCTCTTTCGTCTTGTAGTATGTGAACTTTATAATAATGTCTCTAGGGGGCCCGTCCGGACGTTTTTGCATCAGGGCCCTATGGATACGATCAAATTCCAATCTGTCTACTGGGATTGAGGGGGCCAATTCTTGAAAAAGAGCTGTAATAGTAGAATTAAGGTCCTCTATGGACTCAGGGAGGCCTCTAACCCTCAGGTTACCTCTCCTTGCACGGTTCTCCATGTCTTCCAGTTTGTACAGTGCAGCTGCGAGATTTGTGGACATAGAATCCAGCTCCCTTTCATGGGAATCTACAATAGTAATTACCTCATCCATTTTCTTTTCCAGCATGTCAGTGCGGGCTCCTATTTCCCTTATCTCCCTAGTGAGAGTTGCAGACAGCTTGC